GTGTGCGTGTGTGTGCGTGCGTGTGCGCGTGCGTGCGTGCGTTAGACCTGGCCTCGGGGCATGCAGCCGGCATGCCATTGCGGTAAGGTCTTACTGGGTTTGATCAGTGTGTTTCGTGTGTGTCCAGTTCAAGCGTAGACAGTTGACCCCGGTGTTTGGGTAGGATGAGTAAAGCCTACAGAGACAGACTCAGGTGATGTGCAGAGACAGGAACTGAATCGATGCTCGCAGGGGAAAGGCTGAGAGGTGAAGCTCGACTGTCAGTCAAAACCCTTTCTGACTCTCCCCAGACAAAAGGTTCAACTCCTTGCACACAATTCAGGCATTCAGGAAAGGAAACAGCCAGACAATTCTACTTGTGCCTTCAGTGAAATGAAAAGAAAAAACAATTCTGTGTTAACATCCTCCTCTGCAACTAGGAGCAAGTACCTACAAGTGCTAAGGAACCCCGTAGTTTTGAGAAGCTCTCAATCTCATGAGTGCTCAAACCGCTGAGCTTTCAAGACCTCATTTTTCATCGACTCAATTACTCGACAACTGTTCCCCTCCTGGTCCCTCCCCCTTCCTCCCTGCCTCATCTCCCCTCCTCCCTGGTTGGAAGTGATCATTTGTTCTTTATTAAAGTTGATAACATCCCTTGCATTGTCTGAGTGCGCACGCTAGAGAGCCGCCCCTACTGTTCTTGCCTCCAGCGCTTCGTATTATTGGTGCATTATTTCACGCATGCCCTCTTTTATCAAGCGCTTTTGAAGTAATGTTAATAGACTAGAAAATTGAGACATTTATGAAGTATGGGCCGTGTTTATGAAAAAATCCATAAAGTATGACAGGGGAGAGGTGAGATAAAAGCAAGGTTTTAATAGATTATGGCAAACAGGGGAGATGCGTCAGATGCTGACAGGCACATCCTCTGAGATCCCTCATATTTTATGGGATTAATTTTGTTGTATTAGAAACTAAGTTAAATGTCCTAATTAATCTGTTCGTGCTGCATGAATACCTCCCCCAACGCGGATGCACGCACACACACTGTTTTTGGGCTAATTACTCTTCTGTGGTAATTGAGGTAGATGCAGTCTCTAGATGTATACTGATGAAGTTTGGGGAGGTGGGGGCTGCTGTTTGATGTGATGGAGTGGGGGGCTGCTGAACTGTGCATGTTGGCTCGTTGACAGTAGAGAAACATTCTGGGTGAGAACAACAAACCATAAAACTAAACCACTTAAGCTTCATTTCTGATATTCAACACTAACATTTTTGGCTTACTCACTCACCATACCAGCTTTCAGCGATTTGATTGTTCATCATAAAGCAGGGTTGCTATCTTCATTGTGAACTATTTGTTATAAAGCTATATTTCAAATGGATATCCCTGTGAAACAGATATATGTTTCTTTTCAAACAAAAGATGGATTTAACCATTTGAGCGGTGAATTCCTATCCCTCTCATCTCGCTCTTTCCTGCCAATCCTCCGATATGCGACTTTGTTGGCTGGAATAAACAAATCAAAATGAGGCTTTCAACTACCAGAGGCAACTTCTACCTTTGTCATTCTTGCACACTCTTTCTGGCCTAACATGGGTGGTCCAACTTCACTATGACTCAATCTAACCTCTGAACTTTCATCAAGAGGGTCAGACAAAGTTTAGCTTATTGTTTTTAGACATCAAGACTCCTGCGAGGAGATTATTCAAATGCTACCCCCCGCCACACACACACACACACTCCTCCCTTTGACACTAATTGGCAGCGTCAGATCCACTTTCCTCCTGATGCCTCATAGTCCACTTTGACCATTTTCAAAATCCAATGCAAATCCTATCGCGGGCTGGTGCAAGACAGTCCTCCACAATATTGACTGTCACTCACAATTAAGGGAATGAAGCAAGGGGTTAGTGTTCACCAGCAACCTGAGGCTAGTGTAGTCAGCTCCCAAAACACACCCCGCAGAATCTGATCAGTGAGTATAATTTCCTAGCAAATATCCCAGGGGTGAGCCACTTACCTTAACAGGAAAGGGGAGATGTTTAACAGCCATTCAACGGCTAGTCTTTCCTTTTCAGACATGGTTTGGCTTTTGTGTTTGCCTCTGTGAATGTGGCTCCGAAGGGAATGTGATGGAACAAGCTGCATTAATCTAAATATATGTGGAAGAGGTCTTGCAGTTTGAATCTCCTGTTGTTAACTCTGACTTTAGTAAGTAATGGGTCAATCTTTTCCATCTGGCGACTCAATCGCATAATCATCTTCTATTAGCACAAATGGATTTCTGTGCAAAAAAGTTGAACATGCTGGCTAAAGAAACAAATACTCTTTTGTCCTGCTTTTATCTTAATGCAACAGAATTGTTTAAAAGCACCTTTTAGGAAACATAAAGTCATCATTTTTATTCATTTTAAAAGCATGCTATTATTTGGCTTTTTTTTGTAATTTGTTTTGATATTTTGAAATTAAAATACTGGATGTCAGAGAGCATCTTCGTTTTCCTTAAATTGATTGATGTATTAAAACAGTGACATTCTTATGTCTTAATTAGATTATGCAAATTGGGTTAAAACAAGTGACAGCAACATTTGCATTTGTTCTCTGATAAACAAGGCAGCAAAACAAAACGAAAATTGTGTCATGAACTTTGTTCCCGCTGCACTCACAAATGATATATGATCTGACAAGTAATGCATATTGTGATGAATACAACCTCCAAACACATGTCAATCAGGTACAGAACAACGGTAAAAACAAAGCATACATTAATTCACTGTTTTTGTCTTTATAGCTTGCGGCTTTTACCTAAACTACCAGCATATCGTACATTAACATACAATACACCAAGAAGCCCGCAGCTTTGACATCATAAAGGTTAACTAATTCTTTAAATCAAGTCAGATCTGAATCTGTCAGCATGCCAGGTCGAGTCGACAGTTAGTCAGCATGCCATTCCCGAGAGCTGAAGCTGAGAGAAATGACAAGCCAGGCAGATAGATGAATAGATAGATGGAGTTTGAAGGTCCAGCATCCATCACATGCCAATCCTTAATGCCGTTCCTTTCTACCTCCAACAGTACCACCCCTTTCAATGAGTAGACCTACTGTAGTCACATCCTGCAGGGCCAGAGCCATGTTCTGTCAGCAGCCATGTGCAGTCTCTCAAACCACTGGATACTTGTCAAAGTAATACACTGGTCCCAGTAGAGCTGGACATTGGTCCGTTAATAGCCCTATTTGTATACAGCACATTCAAATTGTTAGCAATACCTCATGTTGTCAGGAAAACAAACACCAGAGTTAACAGTTGACCTCAATTAATCATCAAATTGTAGTTTTTTCCACCACTTACTGTAGTCATTCCTTCTCCATCACAAAAACACCTCTGCTGCACAAAACTGATTACATTCTCTGGACATAATTAAGGTCACAAATTCTTCCTTTAATCATTACAAGTCCAACCCCCAACCCAACACTCTAATATAGCTGGATCCTTCTTTTAATTACCAATTATTTTCTGCAGTCGGTGAATGTGGAGGGCTCCAGGTTATTTGGTCTCAGAAAGCAGCTTTTCTGTCTCTGTTGTTGCCAGAGCCATGTCGCCATGGTGTCACGGCAATAGTCACCAAGGAAAATTGTCATTAAGATGGAGTCAACGTACTGGTGAGAGGAGGGGTTGCACTGCATGCTTGCTCACAGCAAGGGGCTAATTGTATCAATATGTAAAAATCTCTAGCTGTACTGAAGAGTTGTTAATACATTTTTGATCAAATTAAGTCATTGTTGCGTGGAAGAGGAGCAGACACACTGAGAGGCGACACGGGGGTCGTGCAAAGCGTCGCGCGCGGCTCTGAGTGAGCAAACTACCCTCATTGTTTTCTCAAATTGCTTTAGATATGAATGATCATTAGAGGACTGAGGGATTAAACTGTTTTCCAGAGGCAATAGCACATGCCCACGGCTGACTTCAATTTCATGTCTCAATGAGACTCCATTGAGGAAATCAAACACGGCTGGCATGTTAAAAGCAAACCTGACTCTGTAGGTTACATCTCAGGAATCCCAACTGCACCAAGAGCCTCTGAGCTTCGGTGACACACTGGTGAGATATGCCGTCAAGCTCTAAATGAATGGCTAATCCACACATGTTCTCACTCATAGACAGATTTGGCTGCGGGATCAAGGACAGTGTGGAGGAGATGGACACTATCCTTGTTGACAGTACCTTGACAAGTGTAATCCCATATAATACACACTGGGTAAACAAAACACCAAGCCAACCGTGCAACCGCGGCCCACACTTCCTCTGCTCTGCCTTTGAATTTGACATTCTTCCTGGGTTTGAAACAATATGAAAGAAGTTCTATTCGTGGCTTTACAAACAAGTGCAAAAATGGATACACACTGCCCACTAGAACAGGGATACATATTTACATGTATAGATAAAACCAGCAATGAGAACAAACTATCACACGTAACAACAATCACACGCATGTGCACGCATGCAACTATACATAAACACAGACAACAGAGACAAACAGGAAATACACTGCATGTCATCTGAGACACTTGAAATGCTTTGTAAGAGTTGAGCACAAATAAGCATCATAAGAGTCTCCTGCAAGATTCATCATTCATTCAAGTAATCCTTGGTACTCATCCATTAATCTATTACTCACCTGTATAAAGTGATACTTTAAATTGCTATGCCAACAATGACGGAAAATAATATAATGTTCTTTGTGCCTTGCTCAGACACTGTGACAAGAATCAAGTGATTCAGTGGATTAGGTATCATTTGCAATTAGTAGACAAACATGTTATGTAAAGAACAGGGTTGTAATGAACAGAAAAATCATACAAAGCTTATGATTTGACAAGTCTATAATGCTTAAATGATTACCTGAATAATTTCCTAAACTATTAACAGTTCCTAATTAGTCTATTAAACCGGCAACACCTTCACCCACCACAAGCAACACCACCCTTCCCTGTTGTGGAGCTCGGAGCTTACCCTAAAGGCCTGACTGTAGGGCCCGATGTTGGCGGGGGCCCAGTGGGACAGGCTCTGGACATGCAGGGCTTCTCTCTGGTGGAAGCAGCCCTCCTCCAGGGGCTCGGTCCAGTCATGGAGCAGGCAGTCCATCTGCAGCAGCTGCCCGGCAGGAAGGGGAGCCTGGACACACACCCTTCAAGGAAAAGAGATGAAACGAGGAATGCATGCCTTTGAGTTTAAACAAATACACTATATGCTTATAAAACAGCGGGAAAGGTCTGTATGTGTGTTTGCATCTTACCTGGCTGGAGGGTTTATGTCAAAGTGTTTCTTATAGACGGTGTTCAGAGAAACAAAATCTTCCATGGACCTCACATACAGGTGAACGAGGACGATGTCCTTCAGCTTCCAGCCTCTGCTGTCCAACTCACCTGGACAGAAACACATGTTTTAGTATATCACTGTAGTGTAGCATATTGTCAATTAATTACAGTAATTTAACCATAACCAAATACTCCCATATTTATTAAACAAATTATTGCATATTTGGTAATCCCTATTTGGGAATGTTGGCATGCATTACACATAAGTGGCTTATGGCAGCATCATCTATATACTATACTTTATTTTTAAAAAGCATTATATTCCTTTGTCCTCTTTATACATAATACGCATAGGCTTGAGACCAAAAAGAAGTGCTGCATCTTCATGCAATTGGTTCTTTGAGACTTGTGTTTTTGGTTTACCACGATAAACTTATTCTAGTTATAGTATTTATTTTTGACATGTTGAAGTTATAAGTTGCATTTATCCAACCACCACAGGCAAACTTGCCAGTGAACAAACAATCATGGAGTCTAAAGTCAGTGTTCAGGCATTTGTTTGTGTACAAATGTCAGGCTTACAGCTGTGCTATACCTACCATGAAGCCAGTCTGTTCAAACAGTCTATAAGAGGCTATCACTATTGTAGTTAAGAGGTGGTTAGCTTCAATATTTTTTCCTAACACTGAAATCTATTGAAACTGCATTAAAGTAGTATTGGTATTTGTCGCCTTCTATATGGAGCAGTGTAACACCGTATGTGTGCACATCAATGGCTTTGGATGCAAACACAGGCACAAGGGCTCAAAGCAAAGCCTTCTCACTACAATCATTTGAAAGAGCTTCAAGTTTGTTTTTCCTTTGCCAACACTAGCGTCTCAGACTACTTCGCCTTCATACAAAGAGGTTGTTCATTAAATATTAACTTGTTTAATATTGTCTCTGCACTGTGAAGGCTGTTCTGCCGAGCACCACGATAAACATTAAATATGCTTTTCATCTTTCGCTCCTCTTTCTCCATCAAAAAAGAGAAAGAGGGGAAAAAGAAAGGCTCAGACACACTGTAAAAGCGTGCACTTTAAACTTCTGCAGGGCAAAAAACCATAAACCCACCCAACATGACTGCACTGTATGTGTGTGTGTGTGTGTGTGTTTTAAAAGAAGCTCTGTTTTGGTTTATTTAAAGCGCTTGTCCTTGTTTGGTGGTCAAATCGCGATCCCGTTCTTGTGACTGACGGAGTCTCTGACACAACAGGGTTTTGCCCTTCTGGGTTGACAAGCTCTTCAGAATAAGGAACAACTTCTCAAGCTCTGCCACACCTCCTTGTGTGTCTTTAGCTAACGCAGCAAAGAGAAAGAAAGACACCCAAGGGACAAAGAACTTTTCCCCACATGTTTCTCTACATTGGGTTTTTTGGGGCTTAAGTGTTTGTAGTACGGCAAGCCCTGCAGAATCTGTTGTAATGCTTACATCAGTATAGGACAAGGAATTCTGTATCATCTCTCCTTGATCATTTCAAAGATGAGATTTTGATTTGATAGAAGATGACTTATTAAAAGGTGAGTGCACTTCTGAGTCTCCTTTTATGTGGCTTTTGCTATATGGGAAGAAAGAAATAATTTTCTAGCAGACTTGTGTTTTTCCTAAGTATATTTTAAAGCAGGACCACAACTCTGGTCCACAATGTTTTTCAAAGTGTTCATTTTCTTCCTCAATATTTTCTCTCCCTTTACACCTTACTTTGCAGCTGTGTGAAAGCTGCCGTTGTCTGGCCCTGGATCCCAGGATCTTTGCTCTGAAGGCCGTTGATGCCAGAGATCCACTGATAGCCTTTGGAGCTCCTCGGTGAGCAGGATGGGGAGGGGTCTGCAGGAAGAGATGCAAGCAGAGGAAGAGGGTAGGAACAACTTAATACAATCAGCACTACAAGTGTATGGTCCAAGGCTTCTAAGGCTTGTTCAAGACTTTTAAAAGATACAAAATAAGTATGTAATGGCTTGCTTTTCTCCTTTACAACTAGGGAAAATGCTGTATGAGAGATAATGCATGCATAGGTGGTTTTGTCAAAGGAGCAATGAATTCAGAGACTGTCACAAATACACTGCTGAAATGACAGTTCTTGTCAAACAATCACTCATAAAATACCGGCATCACGATGCTGGCCGCATGACACAGATTCAGGAAGCACACACCACACACAAATATCATCTGACACACACATAGACACATAAATACACACTGTAGCACGAATGTCAGCATGTGGATGTCTCGCCGTAAATGAATCTCACCGTGGCCCCGCTGACAACTAAGGTCACAATTTGATGTAAATTCTTGCTGGTTGTCTTGAGCTTGATCAGCATATTCCACCTCCTCAGTCATCTTGTCAATGGCGTTCTGGCAAGGACAACTACCATGGGGCAAAGCTCTCGCCACCACATCCTGCAATAAAGCACCACAGGGAATACATCAGGCCAAACGCCCACCAAAGAGCGCTGAGCCTTTTGCAAAGACAGACAAAACGCTGTATAATTAGCCAACCTTTTCAAATACCCCACCAAGCTGGCTGTGTGTGTCAGTCTTTCATGACAAGGGCCCAGACACACATAACTTCAAGGTGAATGAATATGAAACAACATGCTAACATATTCGTTGTTCAGGCGAATAGGGAGTGGTGTTTTCTGATACTGTAGATTCAATCATGCTGGCTGTCAGTCAAGAAACTCATGACTGGATGTGTGGGACATGTTTTGGATTTCACCAGTCAGATCCTTCTGTTTGCTTATGCTTAGCCGACTGCTGCTACTTTAAATAACAAATCATTATTATTCTCTAAGGCGTACATATTACCTGCCAAATCCTGCTGGGGCGTCACACATTTGAATACATATTTCATATTTCTCCAACGCCCCCCCCTCACCCTGTCCAACACTCATTCACCCCCCTCATCTGCTGTCAGCTGCATCAGGCCATATGATAATCAAATTAATTATACTTCAGCCCCTCTCTCCTGGCCAGCATAAAAAAAATAGCTTGACTAGCATTAACGGAGGGCAAATGATGGTGGTCCATCCCCACCCCCTGAGCCCGGTGCAGTTTCCTCTAGTGCTGGTGTCACCGCGGATCTGTCACCCTGACGAGAAGAGCTTCAGAAGGCTGAACCAGGGCAGGTTCTCCCCTGGTTGCACCCCCCCCCCCCCCTCCCCTTGCAGGCCCTGGATCTCCCTGCTCTTCCCCCAGCAACCTAGGGGGGGCTACAGGGGCTGTGTGTGTGTGTGTGTTTGTGTGACGGGGTGGGAGAGGAGGCGTGGGGAGCGAAAAATATATAGCTGTAGGGAGTGAGGCTGCAGGGTCACGAGGGGTTGTGGGATGGGGGTATGTTTTCTGTCCATAACAGTCCCAGCCCCCACCCAACATGCAGACACACACACACACACACACACACACACACACACACACACACACACACACACACACACACACACACACACACACACACACACACACACACACACACACACACACACACACACACACACACACACACACACACACACACACACACACACACACACACACACACACACACACACACACACACACACACACACACACACACACACACACACACTAATTCTCTCCATCTAATCATATAAATTATTTTCTCTTTATTTGTTGCTACGTACTTGTTGTGTGTGTGTGTGTGTGTGGTGTTTAGGGTGCAACAGAGGATGTGAGGACTAAACACATTAAGACAAAAACACAGCCAGAATTTAACTCTTTGACCTTAAGTTAAACACCAAGCGATCTTAAGAACTTGGAACTCAGTAAGTTGTAACATCTCTCTAACGTGTCCTACACCAGAATATTCATCACAGTCAATTCCACTGTCCACACACACACACACACACACACACACACACACACACACACACACACACACACACACACACACACACACACACACACACACACACACACACACACACACACACACAACACACACACACACACACACACACACACGACACACACACACACACTACACACACACACACACACACACACACACACACACACACACACACACACAGAAAATCAGATGTACGCATTATGTGATGTGCAACGCACAACCGTTACCCTGGAGACATGTGAGCTACAGGCGAGTAGCATCCCTCTGAGTAACCCTTGTAGTGTTACCCCGCTGCAACAAATACAACGGCGTGCGAGCGGCACTTCTTGTCGCTAGGAATACTCATCAACCAGTAGGTGTCTTATTAAAGCAGACAATTTCAACCACAGTCATTAAAGCTGCACATAAATGAGCTCACCGTCTCCATCACAGAATACTTGGAGGATTATAAAGTAGTGTGTTTATGCAGGGAAAGTGTTTCGAAGTGTCGCCCTTCTTATCTGTGAAGCCCCGTTCAGCTGCTTTTAATATACCAAAAGCCAATTCTTAGTGCCTCCCCTCAACCCCCGCCTGTGTCCGCTTAGCAAGCTACCTGAATGCAAAGCGCCTTAATGTGAGCAGACATGTTTATTAAGCTGGGCCTAGTTTCAGGCTGCAGTGAATATTGCAGACGTCAAAGTAGGCCATGTGGGGCTGGCGGAGAGAGAGAGCGAGGGATGAAGGGAGACACCGAGAGCAAGAGTGTGCGAAAGGGAGAGAGAGGCCCTCTGGAGGTCGATCTGAACCCTGCCCTACAGTGCTGTGTTTCTCTTCTGTTCGACAAAGTTATCAGACACCAAAAGGTTTTTGTTCTTGTGTTTGTTTTGCCCTCACAGCGGTTTTTGAAGTAATCAACCCCGGGAGTGACTCAAACTTTTGTTGTGAAATCATTGATTCAGCATTGAAAGCATTGATCTTATTTGCAAAACAACTTATACTCATGGATTCCTTCAGAAGTTTCACTCACGCTATCTTTGTTCTCGCTGTGTATCTCTGTGAAGCGCAGGTAGCCGACCGGAGCGAAGGCATCTGCTGAGTGGATCACTGTCTCCATTGCATCTCTGCACACACATGAAGAAACTTTAATGTGCAGTCATGCTGGCAGGAACAAAAGTTAACTTTCCAAACTTATAGCAGCAAGAGTTTTAATACAGACACATAATGAACGTTTATATCTTTACTCACACAACCATCTTTTTTTTGAAGAGGGGGCAATCAAGAGTGAAGGATTCATATTCTCCTCCTTCTCCGCAGATATGAACTCCATACTTCTGAGACAGCTAATCAGTGAAAGAAAACACCTTGTTAAACCATTGAATCACCTATTAAAACACACTATTTACTTTCACTCAATTTCAATCATTTCACCTAAAATTGTCTAGACATATCATACAAATACCTTGTGGTATTACAAGTCTTACACAAACAAATTGTCATTTAGAATGTTCAAAATAAATGTTTGATTTTTGAACATTATAAATAATTTTCTGTATCTGTAATAGAATAAAAATATTTTCGCACTGAGAATAAAATCACTCTAAAACTATAACTGAAAGTGAATGATAAATATATGTTACAGTATAATAAACATATTAAACACCACAACATGTTTTAAGTATCGTAATGTAAACATAGAAATACATGGAAGTACTGCAGTGATGAGTGTAAACTGGGTGGCAGTGTGTGACCTGTTTCAGATAGGGCTCCATGTCAGATAGAGATTTTCCCAAGTGCTTCTCTGGATCCAGGCCTGGTACCCACGTGGGAAACGCACACAGGATACATACAAACATACACACAACGTGCACAAAGACAGAAACACACACAGACACACGTATGGAGAGAGAGGGAGAGAGAGAGAGAGAGAGAGAGAGGTCTGATCAGGAACAGGGAACAGTGATTGAAGATGACAGGCAGGGAGGTTTACGGGCAGTCGCACAAACACACACGTAAACCTGCACCCTGGATCTATTTGTTTGACTTTGCAAGTAGTGTACACAGATCTCTCTGGGTAAGGGCAACAGTTTTCAATTGCTGGCCGCAGACCCCCCCACACCCCCTCGCCCGTCGCCCCCTCATCTAGTTTCCTTTGAGAATATAAACTCTGGAAAGAGATCTTGTTTATTTGCCTTTTCCCTCCCCTTCCCCTGAAATGGTGCATGGAAGTGACTCACAGGCATGGGAGAGAAAAGAAGGAGGGGAAAGAAGTTTGGAGGAGAACTCTGCATGAATACCCAGTGGTGGCACACTCCTAAAATACAAGCTCATTCCCCAGACAAAAAAAAAGTAAAAACCAAGCTGAGTAGACTTCTAGAAAAAAAGAAAAACAGGCCATGCTTTCTGCCCTTTTAATAAGATATCACATTCTAGATCAGGGGTGGGGAACCTCCGGCCCCCGGGCCGTATACGGCCCGTGAGACCATTTGGTACGGCCCTCGAGGTAATTTATAAACACATGCAAAAAAGAAAAAAATTAAAGAAATCTAGACCGCAAAATAATTAAACAAGCGAGTGCCTGTTTTTCCTGGTCCTTGAACACAACACGAGCCTAGTGTCATCACGTGGTATATGTTTCGTCTGACAGGGGTGTAGTGCTGACGGAGAGCACCAGAACGTCGCTCCGGCACTTCAGAAATGGCAGTACCCATAAGGAGCCGTACACATGCCGCAGTTTTTGCGTGGCTGTGTCTTTAGTTGAAAGCCCAGTGGCGATCTGCTCATCTGTCATACTGATCATACAGTCAATAACGTTGTTGTTATTAGCATCTGGTTAGCTAGCTATGCTAACGAATATAAGAAGCTTTTTCTACAACCAGTGAGGTAAAGGCACATCTTTATATGATCATTATATAGTTATAAAAAAATAAGAGAATAAAGTAAACAGGTATAAAATACTATATGACAGTAAAAATAAGTTGTTATTAATAAACAAGAATACAGTTTGAAAGGGGAGTGATTTGTAAAATATCCATAAAGAAAAAGAAAATCTGCTTCCAGTTCTGTTTCATATGGATGTTAAGAGATGTATCCATAGATCTCTTAATGTTGCTCTCAAAGTGCACCAGATTGATGCTTTTAACTTCAACATTTAAAAAAAAAAATCTTCCCGGGGGAGCATGCCCCCGGACCCCCCTAGAGGAGGTTAGGTCCCCCTCCACATAAATCATGTTCACATGGATAGGAAACTAACTTGCACACATCTTGTGTCCATATCTTTCTGTTTTGGTGGTCATGCCACACCGTGCACGTGCATGCATGCATGAGTCATGGTAAGATATCTGGACTAAGAGGTTGCTTTTTCTTTGCACAGCATGAAAGAAAGGCTAAATGAATGGGCTGTGATTTTAGTATTTTTAAGCAGAGGTCAATAATTTGTACGGGCCCTCGGAGGATGTTGAAAAAATTGAAATGGCCCTTGAGAGGAAAAAGGTTCCCTACCCCTGTTCTAGATCATAGCTTCTCCAAAGTATATCACCTTTATCTTCTTATTTAGGGATTATAAAAAAATATGACCAGTTCTAAAAAGGTATACATAAACAGTAAACACTTGCTTGTTCGGCTTTTAATAAGGCTTTTAATCCTTCCTCACACTAAATCCCGATTTTGTCTTTCAGTCGCATGTTCCTGAAGGCACCACGCTGAACTCCATCTCACCATGTAAACAACTCCTTTCACAAAGAAAGCGCCGCCTGCGTTTTCCTACTGTACATTCTTTACTGTTCCGATGAAAAACAAAAGCCCTGAGTACCAGGTGCTCGGGACAAAGAATAGAACAGTAAAACATAACAGGACATGAATGTAAAATGCTACATTTTTAGGAAATTCCAAACTGTGTAGTTGTAGTGCTGTTGCAACTATGTTTAGCGGAAAACATGATTGCTATCTACAATTTTATCAGGGCAAATGACTGGAACCAACAATTACACCCTAACAGTCACTGATGAAGGCTTCCCTTATTCTCCAACATTTTCCTCTTCCTTTGGCCGCCTCTTAATTGATTGACATAATCATTAACAAGTTACTGATGACCTATATGGAGTGACGTGCAGTTGTGACAGTAATGCCATCGCAATAGAAAGAAATGGCTGAATTGTCCCTAATAATTTATCGGAAAATCCACTAGCTCCTCTATTTCCGAGGCATCACCGTGTCGCGCTCATCGGCACGTTCATGTGTTTAATTAAAGGAACAAAGTTAATCGTAATGTGAGAATCTCTCCTCTCTAATGGTCTGACAACCTCAAAGGTTAACGTGTCATCCCGGGGACCCATGGGGAGCAACGGATGGGAGCCGAGAGGAAAGGGTGAGGGGATGTGATGGGAGGACGTCGAATCCCATCCTGGGTTCATCTTAATCCCAGCTGTGTCTCTCCTCGGGGCCCCGGTGGTCCAGCACTGCGGGGGGGAGACGCAGGGCCACAGCGGAGGGAATGAGGGAGGGTGTGGAGGGAGAGAATGAGCAGGCCCTTATTCTCTTCCCAGGGGAGAGGTGGTCTTAATTAGTGTGAGAATATCTAATCTCAACATCCTCTCATCTTAACCCTGCCACAAAGGTAATAAGGCAGGAGAAAGAAAAAGCATTAAAATTCAAACCCATTTAAATATCCTCTTTAATTAGTCATGCCTTTTAACAAATTCTAATAATTGGCTCCAAATTGCTGAGGGGATGCCACATTTTTTGATATGTTCATTAACTTGGCTTCTCTTAAATAATATATGGAACATGATTTGATATTTACAAGGAGGGAAAAGGACGATGGAAATCTAGGAAGACAGGAGTGAGGGATAAAATGATACAAAGATGGCATTAACGCGGAGGCATTCCTCCCAAGACCACTTAGCACTTGTATGAGTGTTTTCTTAATTGAAGTTCCAGACTGACTTAAGGTTAGTGAAACCGTTTGGAAATGAGGGTATGTGGAATGAGCTTGCACTTGTACAATACATGCTTTGAGTAGCCACTGGTGAGAGCCTTCAGCGATCTAACACCACTCATTTACATGATCTTCACATCTCTGTCTCCTCTGAACCTGTTTTACAACTTGACCTAAACCCAATTACCTAACCTCATTATGCCACATTAAACCCAAATAAGCCCACTAGAAGCTGCCATTAGTCTGCCACCAGAGACAGCAAGACCGCACTTTGGAGAGAGAGGAGCTTCCCTAAGAGAGACTGCGAGGAATGGCTCTCCTTTAAAAGAGCTTTTTACCTCGTATTATCCTATAAAACTCCAATTAAATTCAGTGAACTTTAAAACCAGTGAGCACAGTAATGAGCGAGAGCCTTTTTCTAAAACCCTGTTGACATTTAAGGCCTTGAAAGTAGCCAAGAATAAAAAGTTTACTAGAAAACCAAGAGCCATTTAGGGATTCAAGTTGTTTTAATATTAAAGATATGACCAAAAATGTAAAAGCTGACTTCTATGCAAAAAATGATCAGACACAATGATAGAATAATAAGTGGAGTCTGGAAACCCCTTTGTTTCTGCTTGAAAACTCATTATTTAAAGTCAATTCTTGGACCAAAGGAAAGGCTGTGAGATAAAAACCCTTTCTACGGAAAATGCTGCTCTCACTTCTACCCTTATAGAAGTCAATGGCAATTCTTTTCAGAGCACACTTTTGCACTATTTCTTTTAAACATCCATGATCGGCCTTGTCCTACTTTGATGAGTTTGATTCATGTAAACCCACAAAGCAGTGAGTTGCCCATTTAATTGAAACTGCTTGTGATTTTGCTTACTGAGCCTAATGCTAAATTAAAAGCCAGGAGATTGTAGATACTGTCTGAGCTGAGCTGAGCGCAGTATCGCAGACATCCACGGGTTGTCTTAAGATCTGGCGTGCCGGCTGACAGCTCGGCTTTAATCCCTGCCTTCAGAGAGAAAAGGCAGAGAAAATTGGATTCATGATGTGTAAGATGTTAGCCTTTAAATGGAGGAAATAAGCATCTCCTCCCTAGTAGGTGAGCTGCATCAGCCTTTAAACAATGCTCTCAACGACCCACGCCAAAACAATAGCTGTTCACCATCACCTAATCTTTGCGAAAGAAAGACAGAGAGAATACAAAATGGAAAGGAAGAAAGAAGGGGAGGGAGGCGGCACCGTACAAAGGATGATAAGATTAAGGTTATATGTGAAATTTGTCAGGCTCTTATCTGAAATTCAGCGTCTGTGAGCAGAATAATAGACAGCATGAATTGTGTAGCAATCGCATCAAGATGAAATCCTTTCAGTTTAACAAATCAAAAAGGAGAAACCGGGAGTGCTGAAAACCATACAGAACTTTCCCTGGGCAAACTTAAACCATTTTTTTCATGTTAAGGAATTCACACAAAGTTTGCCGGTGATTTAAAAAGACGAAACAATTTATTCCGACCATACTAAAATCATTTAAAGTTATAATCTCGAGAATTAATTGTATGAATATCTGTTAAGTTGCCATCAATCATCAAATAGGGTATCACAATGGTGACTGAGACTATGATCCAATGATGAAAGCCCTTGCATTTGCTGTATTACAAACTTTGTAACGGCAATTTCTGGCAAGTAAGATCCAAAAACACACATTCCTGTCTATCATTCACTGGAACTGCCCTAAAACCTCCTTACATGTGTAAACAGCGCTTTTGGAGTTGTACTGTAGTTAAAAAAATGATATCAGCAACAGATTACATGAATGTATGGATTGAAATGTTTCAAAGAAATGTGGGTTAGGGGACAGTACACTTGTTCCAGAAGCACATTGCATCTTGTTTTTTTTAAATATAATGTTCCATCATCATTCTCCAATCTTAAAAACAATCGTATACCTGTTATTCTTTTCTTTAAAAACATTTGTCATATCAATGTGCCGTGTCACTAAAGCTCAAATATTCCTTTATATTTGTACGGTAGGTAACTGAAAAATCTGGTTCTCTTTTGCCTTGTGTGTTTCTTTAGAACGGAATGCTGTTTAAATGCTATTCATTGCCTTTTATATTGACAACAAAACTGTTCACTTTCTTCGATGTGTTTGAATTAATTGTCCTTTAAATATATAATAAATGATATTCAATGTCCTTAAGTGGGTGAGGTGATCAGTGAAAGCAAATTTGTGACATAAATTCCTTTCTTCGTGGCACAAAGGCTACGTTCGTGTGAAGGGTAAAAGATCATGCAGTGATAAAAGGTTTTCCAGTGGAGAGACCTTGATTTCACACATGCCAATTATCTCTGGAGCTGAGGTCCAATTAGCTGCTGAACCTGTGCCCTCATATACACCTGCACTAATCAATCAATTAACTAATTGCATGAATATTTAATTGGAGCTTTTGGAATTGACAATTACCACAGTTAGCTCAAGAGATAATGCATTATAAAGAGAATTTTTCCAACAATAATAATATGCATTTCCCTTTGAGAAAAATGCTTTTTTTGCTAATTAGAAGCATTTTCTGACATTCACAGGCTTAGACTCAGATATTTAAAATGACTTCACTACATGCAATTTGGCATCTTCAAAGACTAAAATCCTCTTTCTTTCTTTTGTGGTTTTAGGCTGCCATCAGCACGCAAATGAACACTTCTAGAGAATTCACTTAGAGGCTCATCCTGCATTTGGACAGCTGTCTTTTCTCTGCAGGGATTTGTCATCAAGGAATATATCCTCCCTTAAGAAAGAAAGTCTTTTTTTCCCCTTCTTTATCCATTCACTGCTAATTTCCACCTGTCTTTCTGAGTGTCTAATGAAGGAATATTAATCTAGAATGACTTCTCACTATTCAGAGCGCACCAAAACCCATTTCATACTACCGCAGAATATCATAAGCCGTTTTGGCTGTCAGTTCAGATGCAGACTTAACCTTTGTCCTGCGAGAGTTGTTTTTTTATTTCTCCTCATGAGGTCTGCACGAGTAAATCCCTCCAAATCTCTTTCTCTCGCTCACACGTACAAACACAAACACCAAAGGCCACCAGGTACGCCCTTGTGTCACCCAATCTCCCCTAAACAGCACACCTCACTGCTCAGACCTGCTCCCACCAAAGCTGCAATTATGTGAATGCTGCCTAAAATGCCGTGGGCGCTTGCATCCCTATTCAATTCTCTCCTTTCTAATTACCACTGCCTCGGGACAGGTGAGGAGTCAGGGCTGATAAGATCTTTCCTTTTTACCTGTAGCCAAAACACACATGCACACATACTCACACAAACACCTACAGTGGGAGGCCAAGATACACACTCAGAGGCACCCGAGGTGATTTTCCTTACTAATTATAATCTTCCAAAAAATGTTGAGAATTTGCTTTTAGACAAAGTTGTGTTTAGAGTAGAAGGCTTGGCAGAGGTAGCTGGGTTAGGAGGTGACCGGGGTCGTCAAGGTTGGGTTCCAGAAGGGTAATTTGACATTATGATTGGTCAATTAATATAAAATGCAGACTTGGATCTTATCTGGTTACAAGTGTAATGGAATTTAAAAAACATTGTGCATGTCGAACAATTATTATAATCATGCAGAATCCTAGAGAAAGAGAATACATGTTAAAAACATGGGATTCTGACATCATCCGTCCTCTGATGGGCATCTGACAAGTCATATTATTTATTACCAAAAAGTCCTTTATCATGAGACCATTAAAAATGAAAAATGGCTCCAAATAAAGTACCAAAGATAAATGGCTTGACAAGTGCATTCCATGAGAGGTTATTCGAGCAGCGCTGAAAGACATGCAGAATATCTGGAACGCGCTGCTCAGCTCTGCGGGTCATCAGTCAGCCGTCGACCCCTTTTGGACTGATTGCAACCAAAGGTGACAACAAGCACTTAACAGCACGTAAACAGTGTCTACATGATGATGTATCGCCATGAGTAGTTTGAGAGTAAAAAGAACCATTTGTAGCCACAATTATCATTTATCACTGGCACCGTCAAAAGGGATCCGGCTGCACTTTCAAGTAGATACAGGTAGAGATCTTAAAGTCATGTACCCGAGAAAAGAAAACTTTTTTTTTTTTTTACTCTCTCGTGTTATTCAGTAATCTGATCTCTCTGTCCTGGGGCTCCAAAACAGGCAGGTAGAGAGCAGGTGATACCAGACTAACCTCTTCTCTCAGTGCTGACGCCGTTGAAAACCTAAATGAGAGATTTTAATCTTCGCTTTACGGACCATGTATTCTGAGCTATGCATAAGCAGAGAATGAGTGCTTCTCTCACACAATGGGGACATGCGTCGCTTATTGACAGGTTGCATTAATGTGAGGGGCAATCACCTGTGATTATTTCTCAACTGCCAACACCCCCCTCTCTACACCCACCTAATACTGCTGCGCACTTCCCTCGCACCTCCTACCTCTGTGCGTCTTATCTTTTCATATTGTTCTCTGCTTCAATACCTTCGCCGCTGGCACAAGTCTCAACATCGCTGCTAAGCCGCAGATTAATGATTAGGGCATTACTCTGCTTGTCTCTCTTTTTCTCTCCGGTTACACCTCCCTTTCTCCTCCTCCTATCCCTCATTTATCCAAATGCTGTCCCTTCTATCCCCGTGCCAAACACCACTTAACCAACATGGCTCACAGGAAGAAAAAAAGAAAGTAAAATATTCCCGCTCCCTGAGACACAAAGGTTGAGAGACACAAACTCACCGAAGGCGGCGACTTTGATGAGGATAGCATGGAGGTCAGATGATATCATCTCGGAAAGCAGGGACTCTTGGTCTCGGCGCCACAGGTAGGCCAGGGGCTGCAAACCTAGCCGCAAACATCTGGGGAACAGGTGAAGGGAGCAGGGAGAGCAGGAGGTTGTAGACAGAGACAGAGACAGAGACAGAGACAGAGACAGAGACAGAGAAAGAGAAAGAGACAGAGACAGAGATAGAGACAGAGACAGAGACAGAGACAGAGACAGAGACAGAGAAAGAGAAAGAGACAGAGACAGAGACAGAGACAGAGATAGAGACAGAGACAGAGACAGAGACAGAGACAGAGAAAGAGACAGAGACAGAGACAGAGACAGAGACAGAGACAGAGAAAGAGAAAGAGACAGAGACAGAGACAGAGACAGAGACAGAGACAGAGACAGAGAAAGAGACAGAGACAGAGACAGAGACAGAGACAGAGACAGAGACAGAGACAGAGACAGAGACAGAGACAGAGACAGAGAAAGAGACAGAGACAGAGACAGAGACAGAGACAGAGACAGAGACAGAGACAGAGACAGAGAAAGAGACAGAGACAGAGACAGAGACAGAGACAGAGACAGAGACAGAGACAGAGATGCGAAGCGGTTATATATTGAATATTTTCCAGCTTCCGATCAACTTCAAAGCCTACAGGGCCGGGCATCTTCTACTTTGGCGGGAAGGCTGCCACCCTGATAGGCCATTAGGACACACCCCCATCTGCCACCGCTGCCAGTGGGTTTAATCAAAGACAAAACAAAAACACCATCTTAAGCTGTCTGGAAACACACATATCCAAAGCAGGTAACTGGGAGTCTGCACACAAATGTCTACTGCTCAAGAAAGGCTTAAGATGTGTATGTTTAGGCATACATAGTTTGCGTATTGGGAAACAAAAGCTGACTGACAGGAGGATTTGTGAATAAGAGGAATCATTTGCAATATGTCAAGTTTGTGTAGGTCTATAACGAGACAACAAAGGGAGATGACAGAGGGCAGAGAAAAACAAAGAGAGGAAGAAGACAAGACCAAGAATAGAAAAAAGGCATGGCTATCTGTGTCGCAAGGAATTCATCTCCTTTGTTTGCAATGAGACAGTTTCACACAGAACGTTTTTTTTTATATTAACAAAATTATAATAACAACCTTTTCTTCAAAACAGTTCCATAAAAACAGAGTGGCACCATAAAAATCAAAGCTAGTCTAAATAAAATGGCATAAACAAAAGTAAGTGTGTGTTTAAACAATATCGGTGGCGGTGACTACAGAGGATGTACTCTTTTCCTTCAGCGGACCACAGAGTGTGCGTCATTGGAGTTCAGAGGCCCAAACTCAGCGGGTGTGTGCGCACTTCAGATAGAAAGTGTGAGCTGCATCGTGAGTGTGTGTTGGACTTACACATTTTCCACACGGACCCTCTGGTAATCGGAGAGAATGGCCCCTACAGACACTGCCTCGACACCCTCCTTTTCCTGTGGGGAGAAAAAGATGGAGGAAACTTAACCTCAAATATTTCTTTCCTTTTCCATTATACAGCATGTGCAACGTGCATTGTAACGGCATTATGATGTCACCGTCCCATGGGGCCAAATACTCCTTGCTCAACCTACAATGGTTTCCCAAAGTGTTATCTGAACAAAACCACGCAAACACATGTAAACAAATACACACACACACAGTGGAACAGACAAAGAAAGCACATCGGACGGCAATTCTGTGGGGATGTTTACACTCTGGTCGTATCAAGGCCTTTATGGTCCAGACCATATCCCCGGGAGGGTTGTGTACATGGCTCTGTGAGCGAACGTGTGTGTTTACGTGTACATGTGGGTGTGTGACTGGAGGCCCCGGCACAGCTAAAGGCAGTTCCTGGACCTTATCCAGGTCTAGTGTGAGCAGGAGATGAGTGTGTCTGGCCGCAGCCTCCATCCTCTACACAGCCCAGCTGGAAGACTGCAGTGACAACTTGAAGTATCAGTGGAGCATTGTGTCTGTGAGTGGCATGTAACTTTAATATTGCTGAGGGCTAATCTAATTGCTTTTCATATCATATTCATATTTCAGAAAAGTGAGACAACTATGCACTCCAGAGATGCTGACACAGCCTTGAGATGCGTTCAATCTTCGCTCATGGAAACAGGCTTGATCGGCAGTGACACACACAAACAGACACACAAGGAAGTGGTGCATGCTAGCACGCATACATACATAGGCGTGCATGCACAACCCCCTACACTACCTCCATGCCCCCTCCCCTACAGACACACACCTGCAGATTCATTAGAACATTACATGGGCTGTAATTAGAATGAGAGGCCAGGGTAGAAGCAGTGGAGGGATGCACTAGTCTCCAGTAAATTACCTTGTAGCCATTATCAATTTCCCTGGCTACTGGTCCTTAAGATAACCCCCCCCCCCCCACCCCTTTCTCCCTGTGGTCCCTTCCTGCAATTTTTCTCTGCCTGATAAACATGCTGATTAAAGCGAACAGCGTGTAAACCTTTGATACTTTCCTAAATGAAATCCATGCCCTGCCTGGGGCCTGACGCGGCACTGCAACGTGCTGTGCCACACACACACACACACACACACACACACACACACACACACACACACACACACACACACACACACACACACACACACACACACACACACACACACACACACACACACACACACACACACACACACACACACACACACACACACACACACACACACACACACACACACACACACACACACACACACACACACACACACACACACACACACACACACACGAAGGCGTGCCAGCTAATCAGATAAAGGATGTGCTCTGTATGTGAGGCTACGTACGTGTGTGTGTGTGTGTGGTGTTTAGGGTGCAACAGAGGATGTGTGGACTAAACACAGTAAGACAAAAACACAGCCAGAATTTAACTCTTTGACCTTAAGTTAAACACCAAGAGATCTTAAGAACTTGGAACTCAGTAAGTTGTAACATCTCTCTAACGTGTCCTACACCAGAATATTCATCACAGTCAATTCCACTGTCCAGTGACAGTAATTAAGTCAGACTGATAACATTTCAGCCCTGCACAGAGCGAAGGGGGCTGCAGGCAGTGTCATGTAATTCTAGGTAAGCCTCAGGGCCAGCACTCTATTCTAATACAATGATAACCTTTTCCCTAAATACAACTGTCACTTCCTAAAGAGGCATATTAGGAGGTAAAGAGCAGGATGAGGAGAGACGGAGAGAAATACAAAAAGAGATAGGAATGGAAGTGTTGAAGGAGTGTGCTACATCAACACCAATTTGGTGTGTTGGCTTAAACTTGGCAGGACCAGACTTGGCCTGACAGAACAACAGCATCAGAGCAAACAACATCCTCATCTTGTGTTTCAGTTTCCTTCTGTCTCCCCTTCTCTCAGGAGGCAGATTGTTGTAGATACCGGGGCCTCTGAGGCTCGACTCAGACTCAATTAAATGGCTTCTCTTTTCACTAGCTCTCATTACATTACATCATGCAACCTTATAATACCCAGGCATACTGACTTCTAATGATAACACTACACGCATTTCTCACACACACCCTTGTTTTTATGGAGACTCCAGCTAGTGGACCTTTTGGCAAAAATGTTTGGAAAATGATTATTTTTGGATGCAAATATGTTTTTCTCGCAATTATAGCCCTCACAAGGAGACGGGCAGGAATGAGGGGGCAGCTAAGGCTCCTCTGGACGCCATTTTACAAATTCTAGACATACTTTCTCATCCTCTGTGGGAAAGGTAGGATAAATTATTGGGAAGGAGTGCTATATGCATGTATAAATCTGAGTTGATGGATAATATGGGAATTGTTCATGTGTATTCATGACTCCATAAAAAATACAAACTTTGATTTTATGGTAGCTGAAATATTTATCAAAATGGTTTATAGTGGGAATACCTGACAAAGCGACAAGGTTGCCCATGAAGCACAGTATAATAATAAATAATAATAAAATCTTTATGAGACCTATCTGGCCAAACGATGTTTTGACTACATTAGAGGTTGGATCCGGGTAAGAAGCTAACATAATGATAAATCAATGCAGAGGTCATCAGGACTCTTTTGACCCGCAGGCCACTTTTCTTTCTTCATGACTGTTGGCACGAGATCCGGAGAGAGAGTTCCTCGCCTGCCCCGATTCCGTGTCACTTTTCTTTTCTCAACGTTTAATGACCCCAGCTCATTAAAGGAAGCTTCACCTGATCCAGGACCTGGGGCCCTGCATTAACTCACGCCCAGAGCGGGACTAATTCTGGCGTAGCATTGTGCAACAGTGCAACCCTGTAGCAGCCCCATCAGAGGGAGACTAAACAAAGGCCTGGCCCGGCGTCCCCTGTCCTCTCCAGCAGGCAGAAAGCTATTAATGAGGATCTATGGCCCAGAGCAATGGAAGCCCTCAGTCCCCCCAGCCATGTCCATCAGGGTACTTAGCCCCATGCAGTCATTAACTTCTGTTACTAATTGTCAAATTCATTAAACTAATCCTTCCCCCACATCCGGATGTCTCCTGTGGAAATGGATGGAGAGGACTGAGTTATTAAGATGTCAGCAGTGGGGAAGATTAAGGCCAGCAGACATGCTCCACAAAGAAACGATACGGCCATTAAACTCTATATCAAGGTAGTGTGTGTGATATACTTTGTAATTATATATACATTTATCTTAGTAAGGGAGTAAAAGAGTGGTTCAAATGTATTCACAGTCACAGACATGCCTCCAGTCGAGAAATGTATCTGCCCCAAAGATACATACGTGACGATCATAAAGCAAATAATTCAGCTTAAGAATGCAGCCATTTCTTCAGCTCTCAGCTTAAAAGGTACTTAGGCATGCCACACATTCAGTCTGGATAATATTCAACAGTCAAAACCATTAACAGCATCCAAGGCAATTAGAAAGCCATAAAATATTAAAAATGCAATATTCATATTCATATGGAATACATCAGAACCCTCATTAGCTCTCTCTCCCTCTGAATGGCTGTCACAATGAGGTCTTAATTATACACCCTAACAATACAAAGCTCCATTTTGCAAAATGGTGGGTTTCCAAAAAAGCCTGCTTCAGCCTGTTCTGACAACCAGGAAGCCAGAGTTGGCAGATCGTGGCTATTACAGACACCAGGCCTCACATTTCCATAACAAAATAGTCTTTTTATTGAGTCCAAAGTTGTTGACACGCACTTTCCATTATATTACTGCCTCCTGTAAGTAATAAGCTTGTGTGTGATGGCAGGGAGGCGGAGAGGAAGACGAAGTGGGGAAATTAATTAAAGTGCTTTGAATGACAGTTTGCTCAAGGGCACCGGGGTACCATCACAAGCTTTCCGCTGCCGCATTCCCACGTTCATATCGACACCACATCTAACCTCACAACATCCCTTCCCCCTTCTCTCCAACACTCCTTCTCCTCTTCATCCCTCTCTTCCAAGATCCATCAGGTAAGTGACTGGACGCGACATGGTTTTAATGTTCTCTCCATTAGATCAGCTCTGGGCCTGTTGTAATGTAATGGGATTGTTCTCCCCTGTTCCCCTACATGGTGGGAACATGAGAAGGGGGTTGCACCTTGTTGTAGCAGCTCAAGTAGATGTGGTACAGGGGATAGGGCCAGCTAGGGTCAAGCGATTGTGTTTAATGTAATGCAGACATAGTCCCGGGGCATGTTTGGCTGTCCTGACAACTCAGACATGCCAAACTGACAGGAAGCTTAGCACGAGCTTAGTAGGAGGAGACACTAGTTATTTGTTTTGAATCAGCTTCTTCATTACAATTCTGTGCAGACAGTTACACTCCAAGGTGACTCCCAGAGTTGGTGAAGGAGGGACAGGAGAGGGGCATGAAAATGTAGCCACGTTTGGATCAATTATAATGTTCTATAAATTACAACTAATGCTGACAAGATGATATGCTGCTTATATATACTGAGACTATGTACAACGTCTGATCCATCAAAATAAAGCAACAAATGGACACGCAAGCTTAGCAAATGTCTTTGTAAAACAAACATCAGCCAAAAGCTTGTTCTAAAAGGCTTACAGAGACATTCCCTTTGGTAAATTGGTGGGGCTGTCTGTTTGAAGCAGCTGTTGAAAGACGGGCTCTTCCTTTGTGTTCGTGGACGGGCTGGCGAAATGACTCACCACGTGTCAGTCTTCGACCATACAGAGTGGTGGAATAAGAAAAACAAACGGCTCACAAAGCCAGCTGCACATAAACCTAAATACCCCGACCGGTTCCTGAGATGATGCAGGTCACAGTTACAAGAACAGGAGAGAGGAAGCAGAACAGGGGAAAGTATTATCCTCTAGTGGGGCCATGGTGCAGGTGTGACCAGCCAACAGAGGATATGACATGAGACATTGTCTCATCAGCGTGATGATTGAGGGCCGCTTAGCAGGCCACAGAAATGTGACAGGCCAGTGTGCACTGATT